CGTCTGGCGGCCGGGGAGCGCTACGTGCCGCCGCCGCGGAAGCTGAGCACCGGGGTGAGCTTCGGCGCGGCGCACTTCGCCGAGACCTCCTACTACTTCGAGGGAGGGCTGCGCAAGGTGCGGCCCTACTACTTCGACTTTCGCACCTACTGCAAGGGCCGCTGGGTGGGCCGCAGCCTCCTGAACGTCTTCAGCACCGAGTTCCGCGCCCAGCCCCTCGCCTACTACCGGGCCGCCGCCCGCGCCGGCCGCCTCCGCCTCAACGAGGAGCCCGTCCGCGACCTGGACGTCGTCCTCAAGGTGGGCACCCCCCCGCCCCGGGGCTGGGCGCTCCCGGGGGCCTCTGGGTAACGAGCAGGGACCCCGGTAGCCCGGCGTGGGAGGCCACAGCTGGGCTCTAGCGATGAGCATCGCCCTGGTGGTCGCCGGCACGGTGAAATAACGCCGTGGTGCGCTAAAGTCTGCGGTGCTTGAGGGGAATCGGGTCTCCCAGGGAGTCCTGCTCAGCCCCCTGAGAACGGGCGAGGCACGGAGATATGCTTAGGACACGTTACTGAATGCCAGAGTTGTTGTGCTAAACCCTGGGTTCGACGACAAAGGGGCTTTCATCATCCCCCCCCCAATATCAACTGGTCACCAGTGCTGTTCCCCAGGGCTCAGTACTGGGGCCAGTTCTCTTTAATATCTTTATCGATGATCTGGACGAGGGGATCGAGGGCACCCTCAGTCACTTTGCAGACACCAAGGTGGACGGGAGCGTTGATCTGCTGGGGGGCAGGGAGGCTCTGCAGAGGGCCCTGGCCAGGCTGGGGCGATGGGCCCAGGCACTGGGTGAGGGTCAGCAAGGCTCAGGGCCGGGTCCTGCACTGGGGGCACAACAACCCCAGGCACCGCTGCAGGCGTGGGGAGGAGCGGCTGGGAGCTGCCCGGCGGGAAAGGGCCTGGGGGTGCTGACTGACAGCCACTGAACATGAGCCAGCAGGGTGCCCAGGTGGCCAAGAGGGCCAACGGCATCCTGGCTTGTATCAGGAATGGTGTGGCCAGCAGGAGCAGGGCAGTGATGGTGCCCCTGCACTGGGCACTGGTGAGGCCGCCCCTCGAATGCTGTGCTCAGCGCTGGGCCCCTCACCCCACGAAGGCCATGGAGGGGCTGGAGCGTGGCCAGAGCAGGGCAGCGAGGCTGGGGCAGGGGCTGGAGCCCAAGGCTGGGGAGGAGCG